CCAATGTGCGTTGGAGTGCATTGGTGGGCCGTTTCTTCATATAAGCACACACACTCATATATGCGTATTGAGAAGCAGGTATGACATGCAGTAATTTGTTTATCAAAGAACTCAATCGATTATTTTAGACGATGTCTTGCACAGCATGTACTTTCGTCACAACATTTAACTCTTGGTCTTGATTCCCTGCACCAGAATTGGCTTTTGACCCATCAAAAGTCACAGTTGCTTCCATATAGCATAACCAACCTCTCATTTCAATTTACCACTCTCCACAAATTTCAGACATGTATTCTCATCCAGATATTGCAATCTACATCCACAATGTCTATCTTACCATCACTAATTCGTCTAGCAAGCAGCCTTACTTATAACAAAATGACTAGACAAATTCGGACGGATTTGCAATTTTTCACTACAAATGATCAATCACTCATGTCAACCTTCATTATTCATTCTACCCAATCGGTGACTCATTAAGCCACAAATCCAATTGCTAAAAACCTTCAAAGACAAACATCTCTTCTCACTATCCATGTTCCAAGATTGGACTTAATAAAGAAATTCACACTTTCTAGCAAAATCGTCGAGGGTTTTATTACATTCCACGACACATTAGCAACTAACATTTGATCAATGCAATGTGCACCTTGAAGAAGAATTGGAACGTGACTGAGATATCGTGGAGACGATGTTTGATTGTTGCAGGGACTGAATCGAGGGCGACTGAGATAACGATGATTGCGATGGATTTTGTGAAAGCTCACTCTCTGATAATGGAATCGAAGATTCCCTAAAACAGGATCAAACATCATTAGGAATTAGGAAAATAACTTGGTAGTTAGTGGCCACATCAGAACGAAAATATGCAAAAAAGGGATGTATTGAAATATCGGAAGTACTAAATTTCACAACACGATTCATTTAAGCTTGGGTAGTGTGTGAGCTAAAATAAAACTTGAAAACATTTAAAACGATGTCATGGGCAAACCGACCACTCCTTTTCTTACCTAAATGATAATTGAACTTCAATAGCCTCCCCTCTATTTTCTCAGACAGGCGACTATCACTAATAAGTGTCGATCGAACATCCTCAGACAAGATTTCTATAGTTTTCTTTCATTTTCCCATATCACCTACACTTTGTGGTCCATATGCTGCTTCGTACCAACTTATCCTACCAACTTGGTTATTCTTAACTAAGAACTACTCAGATCCCGTCTCCTCTAATCCCAAGAAATTGGACTTGTGAAAACATGTGGTACCATGGTCTCCCATATCTCTAAAGTTTTTGGGATTGTTTCCCACGAAGGAGACTTCTATCGAAGACTGAATAATAACACATTAGTTGTGAACTTCTTTGTCCACCTTTGCCCGTGAGCGAATATTACCAGTCTGCAGATTATAAGACACCACATTCCACATCTTGTGAGCAGTCAACCATCATGTGGAATCACTGGACATAGGCGAAAAGGGATCATGAGTTTGACATTTATTAAAATGCAATCCAATTCGAAATGCATTGTAAATCAAAATACGACTGCTCTGTCTTTGCCTTGCCACTCGGATTTGTTGCGACCAACAAGGGTCTTTCTTAACCTAATCATATTTTCATATCAATGTTAGGAAATATATATTGATATTATGAGAACAAAGTCATTACTTATCAGTTTGTGGAAATCGACTAGCTGGAAAGGCCTTGTAAATGCAGCCATTCGCGGAATGAGCTTGTGCATATAGAGCTCTTTGGGCCTCTGTTTTATTAGAAAATAAGAGGTGTCCATTGCGTTTGGAGGGTTTCATCAAAGGTGCAAAAATGTCGCTTCATACTAACTTACCTTTCAAACTAGGTATATCTTAAACAAGTTCTATTCAGATTACGTCTGCACCAATTCCAAGAAAGTGGAATTGTGAAAACACACAGTGTCTTAACTTGCCACATCTCTAAAGTGTTTAGGATTCTCTCATACACAGGTAAATTCTATCGAAGAATAAATAATATCACATTAGTAGGATGTGAGTATTAAGACTTTATGATTCAGAATTCGAATTCTCAAAAGCAACATGATCAGCCAGTGAATTTTCATGCACTGAATGAGTGATGTGTAAGTGAAAATGCCTTTACTATTGAGGAAGTGGACAACAAACACAATAAGCCAATTTAGAGGCCGCAAGATTTTTGCATAGAGATGCGGATTGGACAAGATGGAAGACCAATAGCATTGTTGAGTTCCAGTAAGTCGAGGGGGAGGGGGGTTGTAAAATGAGGGTTCAGGATAGAAATGTCATCCTCTATGACTAAATGGATAAATGGAATTTTTCTGGCTAATTCTGCTATAGGTGGTACAATCTATATACTTGTAATCTACCCTACGCTGTCCTACAACGAGAAACCTATTCTAATTGAGTTGTAGAATGTCCTCAATTCATCTTCTGATGGAATTACAGCCGACTTCTTCTTAGCGAACGCTTTAGTCAAAAGATGAATATGGACACATGGAGTGGTTGCAATCAATTGACCCGCCTCGGCACTGCTTGCTCTAAATGTGAAAAATCTTGAATTTACTTTTAATGATTGATTTTGACGATTACTTGATTTCAATTTTGGACAATCAATTCTTAGTGGCAACATTAAACTAGCACATTTTACCTGAATCCAATTAATCTATCTGTGTGTGGAGGAAAAAAGGCAATGCAATTGATGAACAATTGTTTTTATTTTTATATCTCATAGGTTCTGCTTATCGATATATGCACAGTTGATATAGAATCGTGGGACACGTCATCGCATGCCTGCACGCCAGGATTGGAAGGTGTGACCGTACAAACAGTGACCACTCATTAACCTCTGTTTGTTTAACCTAAGCTGCCATCCTGATCATGATTAAGGTTCCTGTGTGTACACTTTATTCGCAACACTCGTACTGAATAAACGTGCTCCGTGCTAGAAACGTTACTTTTCCCGAGCCCTCCAAAGTTGAAATAACTTATCAGTACTTGTTTCATTAAATTAATTCCAGAGATCAATAACCATGACCAAGTTCGTCTTGGGTAGACCACGTCAATTTCTACGGCATACACGAGACCGTTAGGGATCAAACTCAATTACCACATTTTTACTTCATTTCAAAATCCACTCAATTGTCGTTGATTATTGATCGTCTTTCGAATAAATGGTTCAAAGTTATAAACCTTCAGATACAACAGGGGCACTAGTGTCATTATAACATTTTCAAATCAGTGTCAGGAAATACATTGAAATTAATCGAACAATTGATGCTTCATCTTACCTAAAAATCAGTGGAATTTCTTCGGCGGGTAAGACCTCGTAACGGCAGTCATTCACTGAATGAACTGGTACAGAAAGAGCACTTTGAGCACCTTTTATATTAGAAAACAAGACGTAACCATCTGGATTGAGGGGTTTCATGGAAATCTGCTCCACTGTTCCAAACTTCTGGAAGAATGTCTTCAATTCTTCTTCCGATGGAATTACATCCGACGTCGTTTTTGAGTGCCCTTTTCCCAACCGATGGACACGGATACATGGAGTAGTTGCAACCAATTTGGTCGCCTCATCACTCGAGGCTCTAAATGTGGATAAAATTGGGCGGATAATAGAGGAAATTGTGAAATGGACAATAGTTTAATCCAGCTATTTACAAATTCATATATTTTATGCAAGAGTGAAATTTCGGATTCACAAGAGGGCAGTTGAAAAATTTGTTGGCCATAAGTTTGGTTAATCAAATCAATTAAAGCAAGAGTATAGTATCCAGAAACAGTAATTATTGAGGAGGCGATGGAACGTCGCCAAACGCGAAGCTTATTTTTCACATCTCCAGTGGTGGGAATTGAAAAAGATGTTTCCGAAATGTCAGTCATATGCAACCAGATTTAATTGCGCAATGCAAAGGGTTTGGCGAAAAATGAATAAAACATAAAGACTCCTATATTAATTCAAAGGTCATCTTATGCTCTTCGTTTAACTAAAGTTTAAAATTGCTCAAGATGTATCTCCATGTGGAGGTGTCAACAATTCGCCAAATATCCACATTCTGAAATGCATTCTTGGCAGCACAACTAAGACGGAAGTGGTTATGGACAGAATTGAAGTGACTGAACAAATCCTTCACTCTAATACACATCACACATTGCACCTGAAATGGAGACTTGTATTCTCCGAACAAGTATCATCTCTGAATCCTCGATTCAACAACTGTACATTGTCATCTACCAAAATATATTCGAAATAAAAATACAACTCCACAGTTTTTTCACATTCTCACTCTACGAAATCAATCACTCAAGTTCTGTTCAACGAAACAGCCTCTCATTTACCCCCTCTCACCAAACAACCCCTCCCCCCTCCCACTCATAAGCCATAGTAGAATGAGTAAGCAGAAATTGAATTGAATGCAGAAAACATTACCGCGGATCCACTTGTACGCCCACTAACCGTCTTTAGCCAGGCCTACAAGTCGGCCACCACCAATCTAACCGCAGATATCGTTCAAGGATACGTTGATTGTCTTCACTCAAACACACATAAGTATGCATTTAAAGAAATTAACGCAAAAGGATCGTACCCTGAAGCAGAAGGCTCCTGTGAATCTTGAAGAGCAGATTGAGTAATGGCCAATCTTCTGCGTACCCATGCTCCAATTAAGACAGGTTGACCTGATGAGGGAGGAGAATTTGCAGATTCCCTAAATGGAGAAGAAACATGTTCAGTCAATATTGATGTTTGGAATTATCGACTCACCATCCAAAGGAAAAGGGAGCTTCGTCAAATTCGAAGCCAATATTACACAACTCTAATTGGAACTCCAGGGGAGTTACATTAAAAAAAGATACTTTCAAAACTTCAATAACATACATTAGGAGTCAGTTACCAGAGCCTATTTTTTCCTCAATTAAAGACTTGTGGGACATATCATCACATGCACGCACGCTAGGATTTGGAGGTGCGGCCGTACAACTCTCTGTGCAGACAACCGTAAAAAAAGTGGCAAATCAGAAGCCTTCGTTTGCTCAACGTTCTCCGACATGCTGATTATGATTAAGCTCCCTGCGTGTACACTTTACCCACATTATAATTACTTACTGAATCAGCATGTTACACGCTATATGGCTGTTTCCTTTATAGCTGGGCTGTATCTTAGCTAGTTCTAGGAGAATTAGCCACAGAGAGATCTGAGTCAGCCAACCTTTACTAATGTAGTAATACGATGCAGTCTAAATTGCTGAAACAGGAAGACGCCAATTGCTCTAAATGTACTGGTTATGAATTTCATTCTAACTCATAAATATACTACCACAGTCACAGAAGTAGGAATGATTAATTTGAAGCCACTTAAACTAATTAAACGACTGAAAGTACTCAAAAGGCAGAAGGGATGATGAATAGAAGAGAGGGGGAGAGGGTACCTGGCTAACTATTTCATTCTAACACGCGAACACATTGAATTTGGAATTGTGATTTGCACTCTCCCACCTCTCCGAGCATTTGCGATATTTTTGCTCATTAAAATGTGCTTCACCACAAGTTCTCTCCACTCTGACCATCAGCTATGGTAAAGCTGAACTGCTTCTTCATGCTCTGGTATGGGAAGACTGGAATATTTGTTAATACACTCCAAAAAAATCCTGGCAGGAGTATGATGGATACAGGAGATTATTAAACGATGTGGGGTACGTCAATTCAAGGCAGCATTTATTACTTATACAAAATTACAATGAAGGAGCTTGTCCACCTTTACTCTCAAGCGAATCGTACCAGTCCACAGATTATTTATTTATTAATTTCAAATGCCAATCGTTTTGATGGTTATCATTAGTCCTTTGGCTGACTTCGGGTTTCATAGAGAGGAGAAACAGCATAGTTAGAAAAATTCGAGAAGGGGAAAGAAGAGTGATTCACAGATGTAAAGAGACAGGTGGACACAAATGCAGAGAGAAGGTAAGATGAGTACTGTTGAAGTGGTCAAATTAGACATACAGTGGGGTCATGGTAGTTGGAAGACAGAAGTCAACTGCCGAATAATAGACTTTCTTGCCGTATGAGTATACACTGCCCAGGGTGCACCACATGGAAGTAAGTCCATCGAGCACCCCGTCCACAGATTATAAAACAGCACAGTCAACAATTCGTAAGCTACAAATCCTTGACTTTTTTGTAAATTTGATTTCCCTCCTCCGCTCAGTGAGCTTACTATCAAAACGACTGCCATTTAAAAGTAATAAATAAATATATTTCAAGCTCATTAGAGCCAGCAATTTTGCGTGTTTGCAGAAGTGTGACGAATTCCGATTAATCGATTTCTTACTGAAGCCACTCACTGTATTCTAGAATATTCAGACAATAATGTGTCATTACACGCTTAAGCCACGATGCTATTTATAAATATGATTGACATTAGTCACTCGATGAGAGTTTATTGAGTACTCACAAATATGTTCTTACGTAAGTGCAAGAGGAGACTCCAAAATACATAGCCTACATGTTGCAATTCGCATTGGAAGCATCATGCCTGCTCGCATTGAAATGACATGCTGTGATGAATTTATTGCTTCTCTTAAATAAGTTTGCGATCTGCCAATGTGCGTTGGAGTGCATTGGTGGACTGATTCTTCATATAAGCACACACACTCATATATGCATATTGAGAAGCAGGTGTGTCTTGTAGTAATTTGTATATCAAAGAACTCAATCGATTATTTTAGACGATGTCTTGCACAGCATGTACTTTCGTCACAACATTTAACTCTTGGTCTTGATTCCCTGCACAATTGACAGCGGCTTCCAAATAACAAAACCAACCTCTCATTTCAATTTACCACTCTCCACAAATTTCAGACATGAATTCTCATCCGGATATGGCAAACAACTTCCACAATGTCTATCTTGCCATCACCAAGTCGTCTAGCAAGCAGCCTTACTTATAACAAAATGAGTAGACAAATTCGGACGAATGTGAAATTTATTCTCTATAACTGGCGAATCACTTATCTCATCATTAATTATTTATTCTAACCAATTGATGACTCATTAAGGCACAAATCAAATTACTAAAAACCTTCAAAGACATTCATTCTTCTTTCTAATCATATTCCAAGATTGGACTTAATAAAGACATCCACACTTTCTAGCAGAATCGTCGATAGCTCTATTACACTCTATGACATTAGCGAATGAAATTTGATCAATGCAATGTGTAC